GGAGACCCTGGGGGCCTCCTCTTATATATACACTGGTTATATCAAATCATAACCTCTGAAGTTAGCTGTGTGGCTCCTGTTGGCTTTTGAGAGCCCAGGGAGATTGAAGTCCCAAGTAACCAATAAGGGAGACTAAACCATGCAGTGTTTGTATTTGTGACACCAGGCTGGAGTGGGCCTGCACCAGCCCTCTTCTCCCTGGGCTAGGTAATTTCTTTCTTAGCTCCTCCCAGCAAAAAGAGAGTGGGTCACTGCATCCTTTGAAAGGCTGGAAGAACAAAATCCATAGAAGTTAAGCCACTTGCCCGTGATCACACAATGCAACATAGAAGACAAGAAGCTAGGACCTGGGTCTCCCAACTTCCAGCCTTGATGCCTCCTTCTGCGGTCAGGCTGGCCTGGGCTTCAGACACTCCGGCTGAACTTCCCTCTCTGTGAAATGACATTGACATTGCAAAATGCACGTCGGTGGTTGGAAGTCAAAGAGCTATCTGAAGTGATAGGTCCCTTAAATCTCCTGCACCTTCCGGTAGAGTCCTGTGTGGGAAGCTGGAAGCATTTGTGTTAAAGTAAATGTATGAGCTGTTTACATGCTTTACCCTTTTAGCTGCAATAATGAGTCTACTAATGTACTGGGTGGGGTCAGAAAGCCTGGTCATGACAACCCATTCTCCCTCTTCCTCTCTCTCCTCCCTCCCTTTTCCCCTCTTTCTTTCTCTGCTCATCTTATTTCTCCTCTTCCCTCTCTATCCCTCTCTTGAATCCTTCCTCAGCAAAAATTGCTAGCAACAAATAAATTGTCCTTTGATGATGAATCCAGCTATCCACCCTAGAGTGAGGGAACTAATACCCTAATTGAGTAACCAATTCTCTTTGCCTAAGACTTGCCCAGTTTTGAACTGAAAGTCTTGTGTGGACAAATCAAGATGGTTGGTCCCTTTAGATCCAAACACTGTGTGGCTGCTGAGGTAATAACCTCATCTTCTGCACCCTTTCTTTTTTTTTTTTAAGATTTTATTTATTTATTTGACAGAGAGAGACACAGCGAGAGAGGGAACACAAGCAGGGAGAGCAGGAGAGGGAGAAGCAGGCTTCCCGCTGAGCAGGGAGCCCGATGTGGGGCTCGATCCCAGGACCCTGGGATCATGACCTGAGCCGAAGGCAGACGCTTAATGACTGAGCCACCCAGGTGCCCCTGCACCCTTTCTTATACATTTGCAACAAATGTCCATGGCTATGAGTAATCTAGATGCATCTCTTCTATGAAATCCATGAAGCGCCTGGCCTGCAGGATGGTCCTCTCCCTCCCCCAACTCTGTTCCATGTCCCCAAACCTGGCTCAACTTCTCTTTTTCAATCAATACTCCCTTGGCATACTTTAACCATATTCTAAATTGAGACATTTGTCTTCTTTGCTTTGACTCTTTCCTTCATTACCTATGTGCAATTAATCACCAAGTTCTGTTGATTTATACTTTGAAATGTCTGTGGAGTACACCTTTTCCCATCTTTACTACCATCATAATAACAATTATAATAAAAACCAAACCCAACTCTAAGGACCAGTTGAAGTTGATTCAAGAAAGAACAGAAGGAGAGGAATAGGAATCAACAGTCTATAGAATTCAGAATTTCCCCCAAATTATTTGATGATGAAACTCATTTTTCACAGAACAGCTAATGGAACCATCATTCCATGAAGTACAATTTGGTAAAGGCTCATCTAGCCCACAGATGCACTGTTTTGCAGAATTAAAAAGAATGTTTAAGAACATCAGGTAGAGCTGTATAATTTTATATATGAAAACTCTGAGACCATACGGGCAACAGCACCACAAGCCACATGGCTCACCTCCAGGAGACCGAGGCTTTGAATCAGGTGTCCTGACTCTGTTCAGGGTTCTCTGTACTGTACCATCCACTCTCTGCTCTTGGGCGATCTGCATTTTGCAACCCTTCACTGAAATAGTCTTCCTCTCTCCCCACTGAAATTCTACCCATAATTCAAGGCCAAGCTCAACTTTCAATTAAATTCTTCTACATCATTTGCTAACCACACAAGCCCACACAGGTGCCAACTTCTGCTAAATTACTGTTAACAGTTGTTTTTATCATCCAGTGTGCTACCTAGTATCGAGCATCATAAATACCTAGTACGTGTATCATCACGAGCCAAGCTTGTGACCATGGCATTCATTTATAATTTGCTATATCCTTTTAAATATTTTATTTATATATATTTTTTTTTGAGAGAGAGAGAGAGCAAGCACATGAGTGGGGAGAGGGGCAAAGGGAGAGGGAGAGAATCTCGAGGAGACTCCACGCTGAGCACAGAGCCCCTGGCGGGACTCTATCTTATGACCCTGAGATCACAACCTGAACCAAAACCAAGAGTCAAATGCTTAACCGACTGAGCCACCCAGGCACCCCTTAATCTGCTACATCCTCTTAAACTAGACTAGAAAGAGCTTCAGAATCCATGATACTTTCAGCCTGATACGCAGATGGCCACAGCCAACCAGCCGTGGCCAGCATGTGACATGAAACTTCTTTAAGGCCCTGATTTTGTTGTTAAACTGTCTCACGTGTGTGACTGTTGGACCTTCCTGCACAGCAGAGCCAGTGTCTCCAAATTCTTTCACAAAACCATTAGCTCCAAGTACAGTCCTCTGCCCCAATAACTGTGCAATAATTGTTAGAACGTCTGAATATCAATGTGGAACTGACAACAAGATTTACATAAAGCTTCATTACAAAGCACTTTCACACATGGTACCACATTTTTTTTTTTTTTTTTTGAGAGAGAGAGAATGAGAGACAGAGAGCATGAGAGGGAGGAGGGTCAGAGAGAGAAGCAGACTCCCTGCCGAGCAGGGAGCCCGATGCGGGACTCGATCCCGGGACTCCAGGATCATGACCTGAGCCGAAGGCAGTCGCTTAACCAACTGAGCCACCCAAGCGCCCCCACATGGTACCACATTTAATGAATTCTCACCACCCGAGGAAGTAGGTATGATTCAGCTCCCCAATTCCTACTAGACAGTGCGCTTCTGAGGGACGAGAAGCTTCTGTTGCTGATTGGCCTCTCTGGGGCTCAGGTCAGAGTACACAGTCGATCTGGTGGAGCTGAGGTATAAATTCGGAGGATGATACACAAGGGCCAAGAGAGTTTGTAACTCGCACCAGGTCACTCCCCCAACCCCCAGCCACTGCACCACATGGCCCAGCTGAGTCTTAGAAGTGCTCTCGGGCGCTTTGTATCTTCCATGTTTGAATTCTACTGTCATGGGCTTTTCCTTCTTCCTGGTAATGAAGCAGAACCTGGTGGGTTAATTAATCCTTCCCAATGCCGCGTAGCAGTAATAGGATCAAGAAGAAAGCTTTTCTCCTCCTGTGCTCCCAAGGGTGCCTGGCGGGAGCCCATGAGGAGAAGGAACACAGCCTTCAGTCTGTTAATTGTTCAAGACCAAATCATCTGTCAGAAGGAAACAGAAAAAAAGACACCACTGAATTCAGAGTAAGAACAATAAATAACATTTAGTGCGATACCCTTGAGAAAAATAAAGCTGCCGACATTCTGCTTCTGAGGGAAAACAGAAATGCTCAGTGTGTCTGCAGACCTGTGGAGGGCAGCACAATGTGATGCAGGAGAAAAGACAGCGAGCGGGTCAGATGGCCTGGCTCTTCGACCCTCACGGGGCGCCCCCCCGGCCCCCCACTCCACACTCGGTGCCCCTGCCCCGGGGAGACAAGAGGCTGACAGCTAGGACAAAATGATCATGCAAATAGGAGAAGTCATTTCCTAATAGAAAGTCCCTTTTGGGGAAGGGGATAGAGGAGCGTATTGCAATTGTCTCCTATTAGTCTCCCCACTTCCATCCTATACTCCCAAATCCACCCTAAATGGCTCCCCAGTGACTTCAAAATAAAAGCCAACCCCAGGCTCTGACCCCTCTCTGACTCTGCAGCCACAAACCTCTGGCTTCAGCAGCACCGTGGTGCTCGTGGTGCCACACTCAAGACATGGCTCCACTCTGAACCTCTGCCTCTTCTTTCCTCTCCATCAGGAGGGCCTTTTCCTCCAGCTGGCTAACTCCTCCTCAGTCATTAAGGAGAGTCTCCTCTAATGTCACCACTTCCCCACCTCCAGCCTCTACCACCAGAGCCTCTGTGACACTCAACTGTCACACCCAGGTCAACAGTCCAGTACCATGGTCAAGGAAACAGATACCTGAGCCAGATGACCCGGGCTTGAGTCTAATCTCTGCAGCATATTGCTTATGTGATGAAAGACAAAAAGAAAGGAAGGAAAGAAAAGAAAGAAAGAAGAAAGAAAGAAAGAAAGAAAGAAAGAAAGAAAGAAAGAAAGAAAGAAAGAAAGAAAGAAAGAAAGAAAGAAAGAAAGAAAGAAATGATTTTTTAAAATTATTTTTAAGAATCTCTACATCCAACGTGGGGCTTGAACTCTCAACCCCAAGATCAAGAGTCACATGCTCCACCGACTGAGCCAGCCAGGTGCCCCTTGCTATGTGATCTTGAGTTCAATTTCTTGATTGCTGTTGCTCACTTCAAAAATGCAGTAGAGATAATAGCAGTTTCTACTTCAGAAGTTGTAGGAGAATTAAATTGTTTAATACATGTAAATGACTGAGATCAGTGCTTATTGTGAGGTATTATAGCCATCAATCATATTTCACAATAATGATTGCCAGGTCCATCTTCCTCTCTGAGCTGTGAGTTCTTCGAGAACACAGTACATATCCATTTTGTTATGCCCGGCACTTTGAGTACAGTTTCCCAATCCCTCTCCCCTCTTCTCCGTAAGAGAATTAACAATCCCTCCCTACCACTCATGCCCTGCAGTGCTCTCCTAAAGGAAAGAGTAGTTTCCCAGCCCTTTGACAATGTGCATGATCATGTGACTCGTTTAGCCAATAAGATGTGAGTGGAAGTGACAGCCAATTCCCAAAAGAAGCTTCAAGAGCATTACATGATTTCACCTTCTCCCTTCCCTCCTCTGCGATGAGAACAGCGTGTCCCAGACAGAGGTCGCTCCTTCATCCTGGATCCCGGGAGCCAGAACATATCTTGGAACAGGACCACAAGCAGAGCTGACCTGCGATCAGTACATAATATGAAGAAGAAATGAGTGTTTGGTTTTAGGTCATGGAAGTTCGGGTTTATTTCTAACCACATCATAAGCTAGTAAGAGCTGTTGAATACCATACCCAATTAAGGTTTATTGAATAAATAGGTACACTGATAAAAGCATGAATAAGTGAGTGAATTATGCTTCATGTAGTTTCTAGCTAGGTCAATGGCTGTGCATGTACATCACTAAATCAATTAATTTAAGTACATGCTTTTCTAATGGTGAATGTGTTTTCTGACATTTATTTTAAATATAATACTTTATAAATAAAAAATCAGACAAGGGCACTTGGGTGACTCAGTTGGTTAAGTGTCTGACTCTCGATTTTAGCTCCAGTCATGATCTCAGGGTCATGAGATTGAGCCCTGCTCCACACTCAGTGGGGAGTCGGCTGGAGGATTCTCTCTCTCCCTCTCCCTCTCCCTGTGCCCCTCTCCCCAGTCCCTCATGCTCTCTCAGAAAAAAAAAAAAAAAAAAAAAATCGGACAGTGATGCTGTAGTCATCCAGACACATTCAGTATATCTGTCCCCAGGCCAAAGGAAAGGAAAGGCAGCAGTGGAAGAAGGAACATTTCTTGGGCAGCTCCTATGTTTCAGGCACTTTACATCAGCCGGTTCAAAAGGACCTTCCAACAATCCTAACAAGCTCTATTTCCAGATGTGGAAACCGAGGCTCAGAAACCAGGAGGTCACTAGAGATAAGTGACAATCCAGATGTGAACCCAGATCTGTTTGCCTACAAAGCCCATGCTCTGTCCACTAAAGGACACTATAACTGTGGAAGTATCTGAAGACACCCCAGGAAAACCTGGCTATATCCACAATACTCCTCAGACACTACACATAATATTCATCACTTTCCTTTGGCACATGGCCCCAAATCCTGACAGTGAGAGGTCCAAGTGAAACTATTTGGAAATGTATTATCCCTGGAGGGATTAAGCAGACTATCAGTCATTTAGTCTCAATAAATGGATGTGTTTAATCAAACTGTTATCCTATCACAAAATTAAAATCTGTCCGAGAAAAGAGAAAATGCTAGTGTGGGTACCATGGGGAAGGGAGAAAGAGAAAAGAGCAGTTTCCATTGGGGATTTCAAACCTGAATGCCCACAGGGCCAAGTGAGGGGGTCAATACATGAAGATAAGAAACGGGTGGGTGTTGGCAAGTCAGGGCCCACATGCCTAGTCTAAAGGGGACAGCGACTGGCTTGTTCAGTCAGTTATTACTGTGCAGGAATGCCAGGCTTCTAGAAGCTGGGTCTATGTGAAATCTCCAAATGTTTCAATGTTGGCAACCTCATTCAGGTTGTTTTTCCAATACTATACATTCCAATCCTCCTCTGAAAGTCATCACATGGGTTCTGACCTGTCACATATTCGTAATGCGTAGGACACCTGAGTGAATTGCAGTCTTGGAAGGGAAAGAGAAAGAGGGGAAAGCCAGAGTCTAAGACCTTATGCTTGGGAGGGAGAAGGGGAAAGGGCAGAGGATGGTGATACAGGACAAACACAGAAGGTGAGTGCTGGAAAACAAACTTCTTTTCACACGATTGGCTTAGGCTGATTGGTTCTTCCCCATTTCAACATGGCCTCAAGTAAAAGCAAACTCTGATAAGGAAAAGCCATTTGGTCCCGAATAAACTTCATTACTCTGCTAAATATCTTTACTGGATTTCATTTGATCCTAGTCATTCTCAACTCAATATTGTGTTCGGCCAACTTAACCTTTTAAAAGGAGTTTTATTGATGGTATGCTATGCAGGCATTAACATTTCTCAAAAAAAAAAAAAGAAAGAAATAGAAAGAATTAAATTGCTTTGCTTAGCGATCTTAATTATCTGGAATAATTAGCTCTAGTCAATTCTCCAACAAGAGCTCTCCAGAGAAATCAGTGTTTGGGGAAAGGGAGAGAAAGGGGGAGCCAAGCTTGCGACAAAAGCAAGCATTTGGCAAGTTATTTAGAAATATCTAATTAACCCCGAGAGTGAGACTGACAATCAAAGCCACTTCCTTAGTGCTTAATTATTAAAAGCAAATAAAGGAAGTAAATATTCAGGGAGCTAGACTACTGGGCCCTGGAAAATAGGAGCCACTCAGAGCCAAAGTACTCAATAATCCCCAAACATGCAGGCGTTGTGTGAGCTCCCATGAGTTTGTGTCTGCAGATCTCTGCTCAGGATAGTCTTCGGTCCCATCTCAGCTCAAGAACACCTATCAGGCCTTTGTGCAGTCTCCCCTGACTCACCTTTGTCCCCAACCAGAGAAAACTGTTCTCTTCTCTGTGTTTCTACAGCCTTTGCACATCAAAATCACTTCATTGTGCATTCATTAGGTGCTTGTCTGTCCCCCTAGATTGTAAGCTTTTTAAAGCTCGGGTGAGCGCTTATTCACCTCTATATCCACAGTGTCTGGTATATATGGAACAGAGCAGATGTGTGATAAATGGAAGTTGAATGAACCTATGGATCAATAGCTTTTTGGGAAAAGTCTAGTACACAGTAGAAACTCAATAAATCCTTCCTTATTTCCTTATTTTCTCCCTCTTCCCTCCCTCCCTCTCTCCCTTCCTTCCTTCCTATTTTTATTTCACTTTAAGTTTGACAATTAAAGGTATCGATTCCAGAGCTGCTGGGCCTAAACAACCATGCTCTCCCATGTGAGTTTATCATTTTGACTTGTGATTGACTTTCAATAAGCCAATGCAGATCACAGTGGAGTGGCTGAGAAATCCCGGGACAAGGGTGGCATAGGGGCACCTCAAGGCAGAAGCCCACTGCGAGGGAAGCTTCTTGATTTGCAGTCACCACTCAGCCCTGCAGCATGTGAAACTGCAGGCACAAAAGGAAAAGAAGCCTGGAAGAGAAAGAAAGGAGGGAAAGGGAGAGGAAAACCCAACGACACACAGGCATCTGCTGATGTGACTCAAGGTGAGTTGTCAAAACCAGCTGGTGTATTTGCCTTGAGGACTATGGGAATCCTGAGGGCTGTTTGTAGAATTTGATTTAAATATTTAAAAAGCTCCCCGAACCTGGAGCTGAGTCTTGAAGGCTGAGTAAGAATTAACTGGGTGAAGAAAGTTGGAAAGGTCTTCCAAAAGGAGGGAGCAGCATAAAGAGGGAAACACATTGGGGGAACAGGAATCCAGGCCAGGCAATTTGGTTTTCTACACAATAGCGCTATTCTGCTAAATGCAAATAGAGAGTAAGGAAGATACAAGACTAGTGAGGTCAAGGAGACACATTTACAGTCATCGCTAATTTCTGGGCTTGGGTGTGGCCCAGAAGAAGTGATGCTCCCAAGCCTCACCTCCTCCTTAGTTTCAGTCTCAGGGTACACTGCCTGCTGGCTGTCCATCGTCACTTGGGTGTCCTCTAAGCACCCTCAACATGTACAACACTCAGTGCTTTATATTCCCCCATAAGCCTCCTTCTCCCCCTAACATTCTCTCTGTTAACTGCACTGCATCATTTTCCCAGCTGGCTAAGGGAAATCTTGGATATCATCCTCAGTCTTCTCTTTCCCTCCCTGCAACACCCAGTCGACCAGCAAGTCCTGAAGACTTGGCCTCCTAACAGTTCTTGAATCTCTGCCTTCTTCCCCATTACAATCATTATTGCCCTCATCATCTTTTCTCCTGGACAGTAGCCACCCAACAGGGCCCCTTACATCCAACTCCAACTCTCCTATCTGAGAATTTACCATTTATCTTTTCTAGCTGTAATTACTAAGACCAGTTGGCTTTCACCTATTAAATGCCTATTATATGCCAAGCACTATGCAAGATCCTCAGACTACAGTTCCTCACTTAGTCCTTATGGTGGTGATGATGGGCTGCCCTGAGCAAAGGCTGACTCTTGAAAGGTGAATAATTTACAAATGAACTGCGGCTGATAAAATATCAGGTGTATAAAAATATCACGTCGCCACAATGTACACCTGAAACTAATAGGATATTGCATGTCAATTATACTTTAAAAAATAAATAAATCAGAGCCTGTGCTGCCGGGCTATAGCCATGATATGCGTGCAACCAGCTTTCTCCAGTGGGGGAATGAAGCAGCAGAGCCAGCCAGGTGGCTCTCTTATAAAAGGCATAGAGAGGTGGTCAAGACTCCTATTCTCTCTCATTGTAACAATGGGGGTTTGTGAGAAGCATCAGAATTTGGTCAAACCACCATATTTCCTACATAAACGTAAGTCCAGTGGACTACCTATGCGGCACTCTCTCCCTCGTATCAGTCGGTAAGGTAGGGTCCACTCTTCATGCCGGGAACTCTACATCCAGGATTGTTTTTTTCCAACTACGCATGCCTGCTATCTCATCCCACCAGGCTTTGCAAATGACTTCTCTACTGAGACACGCAGACCCTCCCTGGAAAGGTAGCCATCTCTATTTGATCCTCAGTGAAGAGAAGGAAACAAAGTCCACTTTCTTAAGCTATTGGGAAAACATGGGGCTTCCCGTGGGCATAAAGAGAAGCCAGAAGAAAGTGGAGAAGCACAACGTGGAAAGAGTAGAGCAGCCCAAGCATTCAGGGGCTGGGAAAGGGAGCACACAGAAGTGGATGGAACCAGTTATTTTGTCTGGAAAGGAGGTGAGAAAGAGGGAGATGGCTATATTCAGCCTAGGGATTATCATAAGGAGCAAATAGAGAAAGTTCAAGAGGATGAAATGAGTTCCTCTGTGGGAAAGAAATCAGTGGGTTTGGGCGTGAAGAAACTGGTCATGCTGCAGGACAGGTGTGCCTCCCCAGGTGTGCTCTAACAAAAGAGAGCATTTAGTCTTTTAGTAATTTTCTCAGGTGGAGGACAAGGGACTCATCTCACACTGACACATAAAAGCTATGCCAAGAAGAAGCTCATTTGGAGTGAGAAGTTTCAGATGGGCTGTTGATTGTGATATCCCCACCCTACTGCCCAAAGCATAATCACTCATGTCTGCCCACATATCCATACTCACA